ACTCATGATTCGAGCACGAGGAGATGCGTGGTTGTAGTCGCGATCGCAAATGTAGTGTAGTGTAGTAGGACGGCCCACAAGAAATGTCGTTTTTCTTATCGCAAAATTCCGCATGGAAATGAAATGTTTGTTTCGCCTGGTTTCTCAGTCATTATCCCTGCAAAGGAGACAGCTCGGTAGGCCAGCTAGGGCAGCCTCTTCCTAATGATGCGAGCCAAGGACAGCATCACTGGTGGGATAGACCGCCTTGGTCGGATACACGTCCCTCACACGCCCTCTCGTTTGCAGGAATAAATAGCACATAAGGCCAGGCAAAATTATGGAGCACGGTTCACATAAAAATAACAAATATAGATTCAATCTGCCCATAAAAAATTTGGCATTGTCTTCTTGATGTCCTACGCAACATTTAAATTCGTCCGTACCTGAAATGCTTTTGGAAAGTCCTTATCGGTGCCGCGTTGCAATCGGATTCCACTGGCATTCTTGCAGAACCGATAGCACAGATCTTCTGATATCACATTAGCAACGCCTAAATAACCGTTGCAGTGGAACTAGTTAACTTTTGAACTTTTGCTTGTGGTGACCCCCAAAAGCCACTTGTTCCTCCCCCCCCCCCCCCCCTTCATTTTTACGCTGTGGTAGTGCCTGGTTTCATATTTTACCATATAAAGCTTTTTGATGATTCTCACTAACTAAACCTCCACTCCTATTGAATGAGGAGGGGATAGCGCAGGATGAAAATGTACAGCCGTAAGGAAGAAAAGATTTAGCTTGTTCATCACCTCTCCCCCTCATAACAAGACCACCAAAGCTTAATATTCCTTCGAATGGAAGATTAGTTAATGCACAATCAGTGTGGTCTACTATTCTTTTGAAGGTTGAATCACCCAAATTCCTCCAGTTCAACATTGTAACATACCTCTTTCTTTCTCAACTTCTTGGGTATACCTGAAGACTTCCGCAGCATCGGAAAGGGCTTTTTCATGAAATGCTGATGCAATTTGTGTGTACCTGCAATAATCAAGGGTTCCTAAATAACAACTCACAACATTGTAGCAGCTTTAACGCCGGGATAGTAGGTCAAAATGGGCGGAGATCCCCGTGTGTTGCCATGCTAGTCCCTCAAACTTGCTTGGCGAGGGCAGATCCAAAGAGAGCATGGCAGCACGAAGACATGAGATCTCCGTCCGTTGTGACCAGATATCCCAAGGGCTGAGGCTGCTTAGACGTTCTGAGAAGGAATAGTGAAAAACTGTATACCTTTTCGTATCACTAGTCATATCAGGAAGGTTGCCAGAGAGCGGTAGAACTCCATGTTTGTTTACGAACCGTCGAAGTCCAGTACAGATCAGCCAGAATGGCTGCACACATTTAGAGGAATCATCGCACTTTGGATCCATAAGAATAGTCTTTACATGGGTAGGTAACTAAAGCACTAGTTGAACGCCTCATTCCACCTTCAGAACACTTTCAGAGAGATGAAGTTACCTCTGTCTTGTGTAGTGATCGCGCCGCGGCTGCCTTAGCTTCGTCAAAATTTTCGGCGTCCAAAGAGCCAGATTCGCCTTCTCGACGCATTTTCCACAAGATTTCGATAAACTGCTTACGTTTGGCATACGTATCAGGAAAAGCGTTTCTATCACCAACTACCTGAAAAGAATGCTGCTGCTGCTGCACAACGATACTTGCTGGGAAGTTTTAGAAAAATACACAACAAAAGGATTCTCCGACTTTCCAAGTACCAAAGGCCCACATTCAAAAACATGTTTTTCAAGCACCAAGTGGCCTTCAATCAGAAACATACTGAAGTGTTCAGTCGTCTTTGAAGAAGAAATATGGACGATGGCCATACAAAGATAGGAACATTCCCTAACACTTGAAAGCAGAGCCCACGACCACTTATAGTTATCGCTCTTCATAGTGGAAGGTAGTGGAGACTGCAACGAACTTTCCCTGTACAACTTTCACGTCAGAAAGTGACAAGGTAGTGGCGCCTAGGCACAAGGTTGCTCAAGTGACTCCGCCCGCGTTGATAGATGTCTTATCTGCTGTCTTGCTCGTTTGCATGCTCTCTCGCTGCTTTCTCTGGCCTCTCGCCCGATATCCACATCGATTCTTTGTCTCTCGCTTGGCACAACCAGGGCCTTGTTCGGGGCTATTTCGACGGAGTTTTTCTCCCATCACAAGCAAGTTGAATGGCACATACAGTTCTTTTTCTTACTCAGTTACCCACGAAATTTTCGCTTGGCCTGTTGCAAAGTCTGCCTCTAAAGGCACACTACCATATCAGAGAAAAAACCCGAAGCAACCGGTAACTAGGCAAGCGGGACCGCACCAGCTACGATGTGCTGCTCTCACAGCTTGAATGCGCACAGAAATCCATCTGTAAGCCTATCTCTTCGACCATACCTATTCATGTTTTCCAAATGCTCGCGAACGCCGTGCTATGGCTCTTTTGCAGCGTGCTTGTCTGGTCTTCCGCCTGCATTAGCAGTCTCTCTTTTATTCATACTCGTAGTAAAAGCTCGAAAACAGCTGCGAAGAAAAAGAACTTATTAGGACAGTTCGTCGGTTTCTCCTCCTTTTTGTCTAGTGATGAGCCATTTAGCACCTACTAGGCAACCCACGATAAATAATCGATATGTTTCCTAATGATCGTACCATAACCGAATCGACCCTAATATTCAGCACTACAAAGCTGGACACTGAGTAAAGAAAGTAGTTTCCAGAGAGAAACTCTACATTCACCTCCGTGGATCCTGGTCCTTGCCAAGTATGAGGTGAACGGGTCCCACGCTGCAGCAGCAGAAGGTCAATGGTTTTTTGGTCAAAAAAGCGCGGGGGGAGGGGGGCTGGGGAGTACTCGTACTCTGAAGGCGGTTTGTCTCTACACTCCGCTCGCGCTGTCCGCAGGACCAGCCACACGCGAGGTTATCAGACGACGTATGTAGGGCAATGC